CCTGCTTCCTTGGGGGAGTGTGCTGGATCGAAGTCCCAAATGTTTCCCCTCAGAGCAATGTTTTGCCGTCTAATATTGTGAGCCACAGCAACCTGCTGGTGCCGAGTCTGGACTTCCAGTCTCCTACGCCAAAGGGGCATTAATTGCAGGGCCTGCCTGTGAGCTGCTCCCCAAAACAATGGTGTGTTCTTCTTATGCAGGGACTGCTGCCTTTGAAAGAGCTGAATGTGTGTGAAATTGAGAACGGGAAGAGCACTGGGCAGGAGGATCACGCTTTCCGCATTGCAGGTTGGTGCCTCTTCGTTTGCTTTGAACAGAGAACAGAGGCTGTATGAATCACGACTGTCTCTGCTCTTTGTCCCGCTCTGACCTAGTCCCAGAGAACCACATTATGGAAAGAGGTTGCAGAGAGCTGAAGCTCTTCCTCCCAGCATTTGCATCTTTCCCTCCAAGGCTTCCCTGCTCCTAAACACCTGGATGTGATGCCCAGGGCTGCAGGCAGGGAGGGGACTGGATAGGGAGCGCAGAGGAAGGATGGTCCTGTGCTCCGCCTGGTTAGCACTCAGGACGCATGGTGACAGTTCCCACCTTTGCTCAGTCATCTGCTCTTCGTGCACCACATTTGAACGAAGGACTGGAATAAAACTCCTTCTCCCACCTCTCATCGCCATTTAAACCCCGAGGCCAGGGAGTGACTCGAAGCAGGCACGCGTACAGCGCGGTGCGGGCTGAGGTATGGCACTGCTCAAGTACAGAGGGTGGGCAACGGTGCCGAGAGGTGAGTTGCCTCTACCGATAATGCCAGGCTGGTGCTATCAGGACCCAGTGTCACTTCACCAACTCTTCCCTCCCCAGCACTCCTGCCTCCACAAGCTTTTTAAACTTTTCTCTGAGTGATCTTGCTGTATAAAAGTTTCCCTGGGATAACATCCTGTCTGCAGCTTGGCTGGAGGCTTCTTTGGGCTTAGTCATTGCTGAATTACAGCAGTCGCAAGTCTCCGAGAGTAGTAGTTAAAGCATGGAGTACACAGAAGTAAGTAAATAACCCAGTAACGATACAGAGCCAAGGAAGCTCATTTGTGTCCTAGGCCCACTATGTACTCTGGTTAGAGAGAAAGTTATACAATGGCCACTCAAACAAAAAAATTACATAAATTATAAAAAGGAGCTGGTACAAACAACCCATTCATTTTAAGGACTGCCGAGTTGTGGTCTTGTTGCGCTGTGCTAGGCAGGGCTCTCCAACCCTTTTTGGGAGTCTGTAAAATGAAGGAAAACTTCTCCCAGGCGTAACCTGTCAGGAGCGTCTGCACTGGGGTGGGTGGACTTGTTCTGCTTGTATGAAAACACGCAGGAGTGTGGCTGGGTGGAAAATTGCCTCAAGCTTTGTTGGGTTTGTGTCCT